GAAAATTTTACTGGGTATGTCAGTAGCCATTTAGATGAAAATTCTTCAAGTCCTGGCCTATGATGACTGCTTAAGTTATTTACTAAGCACACCTGGAGTTTTACTCTTTATAGCAGGGGTGTCAAAGATACAACCTGCAGAGCCCCATCATCCAGCCCCAGGAGCTGCCCCAGCATCTGAATTGACCTCCAAGGCACATAGGGCTCTGGACCAGACCCCACTACTACCCCAGCCAGTCCTGGACACACGTCACATTCAGTACCCACTCTGGCTAGTCCGGGGTCCATGTTGCCCTCAGGCCTCCTTCCCCATTGCATGTAGCATGGGTCCGGATCAGCTGGAGTGGGCGCTGTATGTGGCATGGGTCCCAGATGAGCACCAGATGTGCTGGATCCAACATGTGGGGGTGGTCCATGGACTGACATGGCAGCGCTCGTCCAGCCTGCAGAGTCTGATGAGTTTGACACCCATGCTTTTTGGAATTCAGTGTCACTTTTAGAATTGTTAATCTTGGCTCTAAAATTGTAATACAAGTACATATTAAGACTCTTGCCTTCTCATAGTTAGGGAATTTCTTTCCTAGAAAGCCTGGCCCTATATTGGAGTAAAAATAACTTATTTTCCTATGTATCAGAGGTGTTGTAGAAATGTATCATGTAAATTTTGTATTATTATTTCTTTGGTACTGATCCTGTACTGATAATGTAATTGCTATTATTTGCAAACAAAATGAAGAAAGAAAAATAAATGTAGCAAAACAATCAACCTCCATCATTACATAGTGATGAAAGACTTAGCGCAGCTTTTACTGTATATCCGGCATCTTACAAGCCGGCATGCTTTACTAACCAGCATGCCAGCTTGTAAGATAAAGTGAAACCGGAAGTGCCCACTGTGGCACTTCCAGTTTCTCCGAGCCCCCACAGCTGGGGGCAAAGAAGCCTGCGCTGCCGAGCCCCCATGGCCCGGGGGCATAACAGGCTGTGTGGGGCTGTGCGGGCCTGCCTCCCTGTCTTGTGGGCCCTGTAGGGCCTGCGAGAGGGGCAGTGTGTTGGGAGGGACAGCGATGCCACGGGAGGGGTGGAGGGACACCTCAGATGCAGTGGGAAAAGCAGCGGCTGGGGCTGCTCAATTAACCAGCATATTTTGTTATCCGGCATCCCCCATTCCTAGGAGATGCCAGGTAACAGAGTTTTTACTGTACATCTGAAACCATTTTTTAAAGATTCCCTGTGCACAGTGGCAAAAGGGAAAAACTTCTCTGTACCCTGCTTTATAGTTGATTTTGAAGGAAACACTGTATTTACTCAAACCTAAGCCAACCCTGAATTTAAGATGACCCCTCCATATTTCAATTCTATATATGGAAAATTTGTAAATTCGTTATAATTTTCGAGGTATAGAATCTGATTATTGGAGGGTTGCCTTAAATTTGTCACCGCTTTCCTCCCCACTGCTACAGGCCTCTGCCCCCCTCCCCCCCCACTTCATCCCCTTGCAGCCTACCTGCCCCTCCTACCATTGCCCTGCCATCCGCCAGCTCCCCACAGCCTCTGTCCCTCCCCTCCCACGCCCTAGTCTCTTCCTCTTTCCCGCCCCTCCCTTCCCCGCCCCATGTCAGATATAGGCAACCCCCGCTTAGTGCTCTTAATTGGTTCTTGAAAAACTGAGAGCTAAGTGGAATGAATGGTAAGTGAAACCCAAAGTATTTGACGACACAAGATGGCGACTGCGGTTGTTTTTAATGACTCAGTATGGTGACTGTGAGTGTTATAATGAAACTCGCTAAGCACTATGTGAACTCAGGTATCAATTTCAATGAGCATTATAGCAAAATAGCACTAAGAAACAGTGTTAAGCGGGGGTTGCCTGTACTGCTGACATTCTGTTCCCTTCTGGAGCACAGCTCATGGAAATGCAGCCCCTTCTGACC